TGAAACCGGAGGGGACTATAGGTTTCCTCTGAGTCTGTCCGTCCATCTGTCTGTCCGTATGTCCCTCTGTCTGTCTGTCAGTCTGTCCCACTTGGTTTTCCGTACTTTTCTTCTAAACGCTTGCAGATATTGAGCTGATTTTTGGTATGTGAGTGTACCTTGATGAGGTACAGATCAAGTTTGCATTTCGTTCCGCTTCAATGATTTTTGACGGAATTACGACCTTTTCAATTTTTCAGGGTTTTCCGCACTTTTTTTCTAAACGCCTGCATATATTGAGCTGATTTTTAGTATGTGAGTTATAGATCAAGTTTGCATTTCGTCCGCTTCATTGATTTTTGACGGAATTATGGCATTTTCAATTTTTAACGGGAACCAGATTACACTTGCCGGTAGGGGACTAGTATTGCTAATGCAATACTCTCAGAAGGCTTGTTTGAATTTCCTTAACTAATAAAACTTGTCATTCCTACTTCACTACATACACAAAACATTACTGAGGACTTGGAATAGGTTTTTTTTTCAATTATTTCCGTTACCATGGGAACAGGAATCCATAGCAATTAATGAAATAATTACCAGTTTCAGTTTGCAGACGCATTTCTTCATGATCTGTCAAGAAAATTTAAGATCATATAGATGGCAAAACTATTTTTATGCACATATAGAATGTTTCTTTAATCAGTGATTTATTGGTCGTTTTGAAAAAAAATTGGGATTTTTGAAAACTGAAAAAAGATGTTTTGACAAATATATATTTCTAGAGTTTTCATACATCAAAAGGCACATTATAAATAATAAAATTCCACCGGAATAATTTCTGTTGCAATTTGTTTAAGGTTAGGGTGTTTTAGAGCTAGATTGACTGGACTAGATGTTCAGCCAGAACCATATGCTGAACAATGAAAAAAAAAAGGTTTAGATACCAAACAGGAATTGATCTCAAAAATCCTATTAACAAAAACAATTTGTGAACATGGCATAAACAGATCCCTAAATTTAAGATATTGGATCAGGTGAAAGAAGAGTGTCCAAAACAGTAACCAGAGGACTTCAATGTGGTTTCCAGATTAGGTGACCTTTGGTTTTTCTAATGATGTACAATATAAGGTGACCTCTGCTCTGTATTCATATACAACTTTATGTAATCTCTGGTCCCCCTAATGATAAACAATATAAGGTGACCTCTGGTCCACCTAATGATGTACAATATAAGGTGACCTCTGGTCTCCCTAATAATATACATGTACAATATAAGGTAATGTCTGGTCTCCCTATTAATGAACAATACAAAGTGACCTCTGGTCCCCTTAATGATGTCCAATATAAGGTGACCTCTGGTCTCCGTATTCATATATAACTTTATATGACCCCTGGTCTCCTTCTTGATGTACAATATAAGGTGACCCCTAGTCCCCCTAATGGTGTACAATATAAGGTGACCTCTGGTGTCCGTATTCATATGTAACTTTATTTGACCGCTGGTCTCCCTTATGATGTACAATATCAGTTGACCTCTGGTCTCCTTAATGATGTACAATATATGGTGACATCTGGACTCTCTAATAATGTACAATATAAGGTGACTTCTGGTCTCCTTAATGATGTACAATATAAGGTGACCTCTGGTCTCCTTAAAGATGTACAATATTAGGTGACCTCTGGTCTCCGTATTCATATACAACTTTATATGATCTTTGGTCTCCATAATAATGTACAATATAAGGTAATCTCTAGTCTCCGTATTTATATACAACCTTTGGTCTTATACAGCTTTTTTTTTAATCATAAGGACACCAGGAGTCACATAAAGTTGAATATAAATAATGGTATCAGAGGTTTGCCCATATTGTACATCATAAGGATCACTTAAAATTGTGTGAATGCGGAGACTAGAGGTCATCTTATATTGTGCGTCATTAGGGAGTTCAGAGGTCACAAAAAATCAAATATTAATACAAAAACTAGAGTCCCCTTTAAACTGTACATCTTTACTGATACTAGAGTTCACATTAAGTTGTATACGGAGAGCAGAGGTCACCTTTATTGCATATTATTAGAGGCTTAAGAAGTCAGCTTATATTGTACATCAAAAGGGGGACCAAAGGTCGCCTTATATTGTACATCATTAGGGGGACCAAAGGTCACCTTATATTGAACATCATTTAGGAGACCACAGGTCACATGAAGTTGTATATGAATATGGAGATCAGAGGTCATCTTATATTGATATAATATGGAGACAAGAAGTCACCTTATATTGTACATAATTACGGAGATCAGAAGTCCTATAAAGTTGTATGTAAATGCGGAGTACAGAGGTCACCTTATATTTTACGTTTTTAGGGAGACCAGAAGTCACCTTATGCTGTAGATCATTGGGGAAACCAAAAGGGCACCTAATGCTGTAAGGAGACAATAGGTTAAAACGTGTGGTATATGTAGAATAACTTCCAAACTCAGACCTTGACTTTAATGACAAGCAAAACCAAAGAGGTACACAATTTCTCCATAATCACTAACTTTATTTCGTCGGAATTGTGCGGGTGTGTTTGGACAATTTGCTTATCTTCATATATATGTATATGATTCTTAGAAAAAATTTTCATGGAGTCTGTGTTTTCTAGGTCTATTTTTGGTAAGTCTTTGTTTAGTTAGTTTTGTTCCCCCATTTGCAGATCTGTGGGGTGGTGATTCGAGTTCAGCATCTCCCTTCCATTAATATTCAAGGGGAATACCTGTTCTGTTATAACAACAAGGAGACAGGAGGTATATCGATAAGGTAGCCTATTGTGGTATGATATGTCATTTGGGAGACCAGGAGTCACTTAACGTAATTCATTACCAATTCATTATACCATTGTCTTAAAGTATCTGTGAAAAGTCCAAGGGGGCATGATCACCCTTCCTACGTACATAATTACTTTATTTAATACCCAGGAGTAGAGAAGAAGATTATCAAAGAATTAAGTCATTTTCATTATATAATCAACAGAGCCCCGCCCTAACACCAGAAACACTGACCCTGGGGCCATGAATTTCACAATTTTGGAAGAAGCACTCTTGCTTTTCACAACTATGTACTTGGTTAGTTTACTTAGTACCCAGGAGCAGGGAAGAAGATTTTCAAAGAAATAATGCACTTCACTATATAATCTATATAGCCCCATCCTAGCATCAAAACCCCTTACCCTGGGGCCATGAATTTCACAATTTTGGTAGCGGGCTCAATGCTTATTACATGCATCATAACAGTTTGACTGCTTGATGTCCAAGAGTAAAGAAGAAGATTTTTAAAGATTGCATTATTTTGGGTGGTTTTAGCCCCACCCCTCAGGCCCCAGGGGGGCAGGGACCATGAAATTCACAATGTTTGTTCCCCTTCACCCATAGATGCTATATACAAAATTTGGTTGAAATTAGTTGAGCGGTTTCAGAGAAGAAGCTAAAAATGGTCAAATGTTAATGCACGACGCACGAAAACGGATGGCAATAGGTCACCCGAGTGACTTAGGTGACCTATAAATGGTATATTAGTAAGTTTCTATGGTTTCAAATATGCGGACAATGCTTTCTATGATAACATGTCAACTAACCTCAGCCTTGTTAACAATACCAAAAAAAAAAAAAAATTCGTTTAGTTACCTCCTGCGAAGTCCAAACTCTTATATAAGGACAGATACACTAGATATATAATAATGATTAAATATCTTTATTTTATTTTTTAAAAGGCTATAGAACAATTGCGAATCTGAAAACAAATAACAAAATACGTTTTCAGTACATATCTGGCCCTGTGTTTTTCTTATATATGAAAATGATATAAGAAATAAAACTTGTGCTAATTGAATTGTTGATAATCATACAGTAAGATCATACAATTTTTTTCCCCTCACATTACCCCCTAAATGCTAATTGTGAAGATCATACAATTTTTTTCTCGCACGTTACCCCCTAAATGCTATTTTTGACATCATGAACTTCTGCATTTTCCCGTATTTTCTTTAAAAAGTTGCCGAAAGACATCAATTTCTGCTGGAATTTTTTCTTTCAGGTAATACAGACCACATGCATCACCAACAAAGATTTTTAAAAATATGATGTTTTAAAGAATTTGGACAAGATATCCCAGAATTAAAGTGGGCGACGGCTGTGGACGCTATTTCCTTGAGGGAAAAAACCCTTGAAATTGGTTATTTTGGGGGCTTTTTCTGTTTGAAATAGAAAATGTATTAAATTAATGACGTCATATTTCCAGAATTGTTCATCCTTCATGCCGTATTCTTTCATGATTTATCACAGTCAAGCACTCAAATAATTTTTAAGCCAGTTTCAAATCTTCTTGAAAACTTAAAAATTTTCAGGGCACAATGAAGCAAAATGCCTTACCTACTTCTTTATTGTCTTATTTGTACTAAACATATATGAATGCATTATGCTAATGACGTCAATGTAATCATTTATTAAATGATTGTTTGTTGTAATTTTTATTAAAAATTGCAGTATCTTAGATTCGCCAACCATTCTCAAGTCGTACTTTTTTGTTATATTTTACGAGTGTTTATCAAAAGCGAAAGCAGCTTTTTAATAAAACTTACGATAACAACTATGAGAATGATATATGAATATAGATTACGTACAAAACCCTTTTTATACGTGCTGTATAATTAGAAGAGTGAGCATACACGCTGGTGCAAGCGTTTCATATTTTATTTGTAAAAAATACTCATTTTTCATTATAGCTTTCTTTTTCAGTTCCGAGTTTACTCATTGCACACAGGCAGATTTTACCTTAATGAAAATACTTTCTGTACAATAGTAAATAAGAATAACAAAGAGTTCAAGCATACAAGGGTAAGCACATTTGGCTGATTTAGAAGACTTAAAAATTACAAAGGACAGCGTGTTTATAGAGTGAAAAGTAATAGGAGATTTGTTTGCTAATGATATTCTAAATACACTGTATGTCACACGACAATATATATATAAAATGTACGTTCTAAGCATGTTTTCATTCTCAGTTGAATGACAAAAAAATTGTAAGGCGTTTAAGAAGTTTTTTTTAGACTTTAGACAAAATAGAAGAAAAAAAAACTAATTGAATTTTTCATTCATGTAAACAAAATGTATAATTTCCAACCATATTGAAATATAAGAAAATGTAACTTTTGTAATTCTTCAACTTATTTCCAATTGGTATATATCTTTTTTTGTCTATAATTTCCAGTATCTAGTAAATTCAGCGGTATCAATGAAATGCCGATCATTAATTGAATGCAGAGGACACAACAATTTAAGGTCTTCCTTTGGAATGTCTTTTTCTGGCAAGAAATGCCCCTTTATATCGAAAGAAATCGTTTTTTCTTTGTCCATTCGACATCTAAAGCCTCTGACAAACTGTATTTTTCTATGAAATGTTCCTGCTAAATCATTTAACATCTTTTCTATTCTTCCTTGAATCCTGTATGTTTTTACCGTTTCCAAAATAATTCCTGGTATCGGACAAAATACTTGAAGTTGTATAGATTCTTCTGTGACGGATAAAACGAAGTTGTTTTCCATACATGAAAACAAAGCAGCGTTTTTGTAGAGGCAAGATGTTCCTTGATTTCGTAGGACATTCCAGCCATCTTCTTGCATACAGGCAACAACAAGGCGGAAAAACAAGAAAAATGGCAGAAAATCAAATTGATACACAAGAACAGATGATTTACTTTCAGATTCTTTGATGAAATCTAGAAGTTCTGTTTCTATTTCTTTACGATTCATGCACGGAACATAGTGTGATTCTGAACCAACAGCCAGTAAACCAAGTCTTTGCATAAAGTTTAGAAGTGATTCCTTGTGATATTGTACATATCGTTTATCTTGCTCAAAAGACTCGCCTCTAAAAAGGTTGTCATACAACTCCCCATCTTTGTGTTTCCAGATCTCTATGAGAAGTCGGTCTCGCAGATTTCCTGTTTTGTAATATTCATCCCAGTCCCCTTGAATTACAGGAATACCTTTGAAATGTACCTCGTCTGTGATGATATGCTTAAAAGCGTCTATAAACCATTGCACGTCAATAATTACTTCTTCTTTCAAACCATTTTCATGAAAATATAGAGCTTTTCCAGCATCATGATAATAACGCAGCATATCATGTTTTCCCATTTCAGCTCCATCGGAACCTTTCTGTCCCTTTGCAGTAGTTTCTGGAACTTTCGTAATTATTTCCGATATTTTCATGATTCGCTCTGAGATTTTTTTCTGATTGATTTCTATTCCAAAATAAGACCATTCTACTGGAATGTTTTTGTTCCATCTTTGATCGGAGGCTATGTTGAAGAGACGTTTTTCCAAATCATGGAGAGGTGTAGCAAACTCTGTACAGTAAACTTCATCGTCTCTGATGTAAAGTGATAAATTAGATGACTTTGGAAATTGATGTTGCATGCTTTCCATCAATTCCTTTTTATCCTGCAGTGATAAAACATTTTCTTTCTATTAGTTTTTAAGTGATTATATCATTTTGACTGTTTCTGCTTTCTTTTACATCTTTTGGAATTAATTATGAGTATCCGTTGTTAAGAACAATTCTTCTCCCCCTGAAAAAGCTTCTGAATTGTTACAATTAAAAAGCCTTCCAAAAATGCACTTAATGACATTGATCTTCATGTTTACTAGTGATCAACATGGATTGATTGATTAATTGATTGTGTGTTGTTTTATGTCCCATTCGACATTTTCTTTCTCATATAGAGATCTCACCATAAATCGGTTAAAGGTTTCAAATTTAGACCTTCACTCGACACTCAGGGCCATTGAGCAGTGAGGGTTCTTTATCGAGTCAACGCCTACCGTGACACGTGGCCTCGGTTTTTAAGGTAAAGATCCATACCATGCTTTGAAAATAACGAAGCTACAGATTTCTGTGAAACTTCTCAGAATTTTAACTAAGTATGTGTCCTTTCCAGATCTGTGTAAATTTTGAGGTCAACCGGACCTCCTTTTGGAAGGAATTGTGTTGCACAGTGCAGAATAAATGTATATAATATTTAGCTTAATATGATATCAAAAAAAATATTTGTATAGGAAAAGAAAGATCTGAGTAATGATCAGTAATCACTGGGTAGGTTATGTTAAAGATCTGAGTCATCACTGGGTAGGTTATGTTATTTTTCTACAAGTATCTAAAACCAAGTTTAACATGCACAAAATAAACCTGTTATAATTGTCCCCTGCTTTCACTGAAAGTGGGGATATTAATTTGGGTCTGTGCATCTGTCCGTCTGTCTTTCTGTCTGTCTGTAACACTTTTGAGAAGCCTTTGAGCTTTTGCAATGAAATTTTACTTAATAACTCTCTGTGGCCCAAGGAAGACCCTTATTGATTTTGAGGTCAAAAGGTCAAGGTATTTTGTTTCTGCGCAATATCTCAAGAAGCCTTTGAGATTTTGCATTGAAATTTTATCCCACAACTCCCTATGGCCTAAGGAAGAACTCTATTGATTTTGAGGTTCAAAGGTCAAGGTCATACATTCTGATTGTGTGTAAAAATTTCATTTCTGAGCAATATTCCAAGAAGCTTTTGGGCCTTTGCAATGAAATTTTATACCGTAACTCCCTATGCTCTGCCCATCCCTGTTAAGGTGTCCTGTTTATAATTTTTTGCAAAAGGGGGTCAAACTCTAAGGACAAGGTCAAGATGTCAAATATATTTATACCAAAAGAAAAGTTTTGTTACAAGGAATACATGTGAAATATTACAGCCATTATGGCTCCAACCAATCAAAAGTTAAAGGCAAGGTTAAAGTTTTTGTGGACAAACAAATTAACAGACAGACGGGGCAAAAACTATATACCCCCGAATCTTACAAGTCAATATATGGGCATAAAAAAATCAAAGATAGATCATAGTGCAGTATTAATAAACACAAATCACCGTTGCCTATTTAAACGATGGAAAATACATGCAAATAATTATTCTTCGCTTAATAAATTGTTAAAAATGCTTGAGCTCATATAGAGTAATATGATGTAGATTTTGATTTAAGTTTGATCTGACGGCAGATCACTCTTCCTGTATGATGGTACCATGGAATATGAACTCTTTAGTGTGAAGTATATAGGGGTCAAACAAATGCACTTGTAGTGATTTTTAATTTTTGTATTTTAATTTTTATGCTGAATGATATCTTAATATAATAATAATAATAAGTGCAGATAAATATCTGTATATTCAAAAATAATTTTTAAAAAAATCATCAAACTAAATGGTTTTTACTTAATAAAATGAAAATTGATGAAAGTTGCTTCCGAGAAACAAAACACTGCCATAAATTCTGCCTTAAATAAAGCATTTTTATTCTTTTGAAATAACTTTTATGAGATATTAATAATTTTTCATTCAAATAAAAAATCACACTCTTGACATAAATCCATGAAATCTAAATCAAAATGAAGTCATATTTTATTGTTTTTTTTTTTTTTTTAATGATTAAGAACCATGCATGAACAACCTAATTATATAATTATAACATTATAAGCCCTCAGAATGTCAAAGAGAGTTGAATTTATCTGATTGAAATTTTATCCCTTCATCACACTTTTTACTTATTCTTTTTTAAATTACCCACTATGATCTCATACCATTCCTATTTATTATCTAATCTCTTCTTTGTTACTGTCATATATTGAGATTTGTGGGTTCAAGTCCGACCACACTTATAATTATACATAAAATTATGATCTAGAATAGTACACTAGGGATCCCCATTGTCCTATTAGCTACTAGTATCTACTGTAATATATTATACCATTCACAGGTGCTTGAGGACAGGACCCCCCCCCCCCCTTTCCGATATAGACCCCTGGGTCTGTTCTGACATTTTTCTCATTAATTATATGTAGATGACACATTTGTAATTTAATCTAGATCATCAATTCAGAAACAATTCGGAAACTTTTTTAAAATTTGCTTAGATATACCTAGTGGAGAAAGAGATGAATTTATAAGGAAACGTATACAATTCATGAAATATTTAAGACACTCAGACAGGTTTGCCAAGTCAGTTAATATCACTTATGAAACATTATTGTTTAGATCTAATATAGTAAAACAGGTGTCCTGGGTTCGATCCCTGGTCCAGCCATGCAATTTCTCCATTGTTAATTTGATATTTAATTATATATATATTAAACAATAATGGTCTACAGGTGCACTAATACACTAGCCACAGCACAACAAAACGGGTAAGGCTAATGTGCACTAGCTTTAAAAAGTATTTTTCAAAATCTTCAGTATGTTGTGTCTATTAAGGAAACAATATACATGTAAAAAAAAAATGCATGTCCTTTCCTACTTTAGATGAAATTTACTGTTTTTATCAAGAAATATTCAATGATTCAGTGCAAGGATACCAAATAACAGAACATTTATATTTGTGCACTTTTATATATTGCAAATCAAGTTTTCCATTACTCAGTTTTTTTTTCAAAACCTGAGTCTATCTCTGAGGACGATTTTCGAGGACGATGTTATAATTCCAACAATCAAGAAGAGAAAAACAGAAATTCTAAAGTCGGAATATTGAAGCAAAGTATACTGATATACGTCAATACTTAGCCGTGGTTGGTTATGTAAGCAAACGATAATGACATTCGACAAGAGAACCATTTATTTGTTACTCTGTATTTCTTCAACTTACAGAGACAAGAAAAAGGCGACCTGATTGTCGAAGTCTTTTTGTTATCTTGTACTCGAGTCAACCTTCCATCATTTCAATCAACTTTCGGTTTGACAAAGCATCTAAAATTAAACTCTCCTTCGATCATGCATTCCGGAAATAACCGTACATCGTAGTTTTTCTGCCTTTTATTTTGGAAATTAATTTACCTTTCTTATCACGGTAAATGATATTGGCGTCTGCCATTTTGATAGAATAAGCGTCGGGCACGTACTGACGTAATAACGTCACTGACGTGAATAACGTCATATAACGTTATTTTACGTGGTATGGATCATTACCTTAAGGTCTCATCAGAAAGACCTGCAACTTTCACTCCAATGTTCCTAGCACTTGGCGAAGGAACAGTTGCTACCTATTTTTTATCGACTTAGGTCACAAGACACAAACCTTCCGATCACAAACATAGAGGGAAATTGATTCTGTTAACATGATAGTATAAAAAAGTGGCCTTCAAATGCCTGTAATAATAATATACCAATATCTCAAAGATACCTGGCTTATAACATTGATTTAATAAGTGCTAAAGAAAAAATAATTTTATCTTTTGCATTAAAGATCACTTGATGATTCTTTTGCAACATGTAATTAAAAGAAAAAAAGTTGACTTAAATGAGAAAAAAAAATCCATATGATGCTGTCTTTTGAATGATAGTTTCATTATAAGAAATATGCCCACCTTAAACTGTCTGTTTCTTTCTTCCCAATGGGTAGCTACAATCAGAACTATGGGCTTTGGATCGTTGACATTGTCAGAACCACAGTAGGTGTGTATAGACTTTATCCAGAATACGAAGTAGTCTAAAATAAACAAATACTAATAGTCCTTCTCAAAATGCTTCAAATATATTTAAAAAATCTTTAAGAAAACACTTATATTACTAATACTATAACATTTAGTGATGACAAGCTTTGTTCCTGCGTAAATACAAAACCAAGTCGCACGCTAGGGTGTTATTTAAGGTCGGGATGGGCGTTCCAATCTAGTTGAGAGAAATAAAAACAAGATGGGCCACATCGCTAGGAAAATGCAGAAATTAGTTCAGTCTCGAAAAGTTTACGGGGGGGGGGGAGGGGGGGTCAAACGTAAATTTACTCTACCACAGGATGCTTCAATATCAATATTACTAATCGTGGTTTTGCTGATCTTGAGCAGAAGAATTTAAACATTTTCCCTATGTATTCCTATGTAAAATTTTGATAGCGCATTGTGCCTCCACCCTACCCGCCCTAAATTTGAATCTACACTACCTGAGGATGCTTCTGTAATAATATGACAAATCATGACTTTGCTGTTCTTGAGCAGAAGATTTTTTCAAGATGATTCCTGTATATTCTTAAGGACGACGGACCTAATTCGAAATTTCGCGCCACTGCGCAGAAAACCGCGCATATGCATTGAATCAGTTTGACTTAATTATGCATTGCAAAAGATAAAACAAGAGGCCCATGGGCCACATCGCTCACCTGAGTAACTTTGGCCATGCTGTTCTTTACCAGATTTCCCCCTTTTAATATACCTATTGTGGCCCTGCCCTACCCCTGGGGGTCATGATTTGAACAATTTAGAATCTACACTACCCCCAGGAAGCTTCCATTTGAGTTTCAGCTTTTCTGGCCCAGTGGTTCATGAGAAGAAGATTTTTTAAGATTTTTCCTATATATTTCAATGTAAAACTTGGATTCCCTACTGTGGCCCCGCCCTACCCCCGGGGGTCATGATTTGACTAATTTAGATTCTACCCTACCCCAGGATGCTTCCGTATAAGTTTCAGCTTTTCTGGCCCAGTGGTTCTTGAGAAGAAGATTTTTTAAGATTTTTCCTATATATTTCAATGTAAAACTTGGATTCCCTATTGTGGCCCCGTCCTACCCCTGGGGAACATGATTTGAACAATTTAGAATCTACACTATCCCAGGATGCTTCCATATAAGTTTCAGCTTTTCTGGCCCAGTGATTCTTGAGAAGAAGATTTTTAAAGATTTTTCTTATTAATTTCAATGTACAACTTGGACTCCCTCTTGTGGCCCCGCCCTACCCCCGGGGGTCATGATTTGAACAATTTAGAATCTACACTACCCCCAGGAAGCTTCCATTTGAGTTTCAGCTTTTCTGGCCCAGTGGTTCATGAGAAGAAGATTTTTTAAGATTTTTCCTATATATTTCAATGTAAAACTTGGATTCCCTACTGTGGCCCCGCCCTACCCCCGGGGGTCATGATTTGAACAATTTAGAATCTACACTACCCCAGGATGCTTCCATATAAGTTTCAGCTTTACTGGCCCTGTGGTTCTTGAGAAGAAGATTTTTTAATGACCCCACCCTATTTTTTTCTTCTCTTGATTATCTCCCCTTGTTAGGGGACTTGGCCCTTCATTTTAACAATTTAAATTCCCCTTCACCCAAGGATGCTTTGTACCAAGTTTGGTCAAAATTGGCCCAGTGGTTCTTGAGAAGAAGTCAAAAATGTGAAAAGTTTACAGACGGACGGACAGACAGACAGACAGACGGACAGACGGACGGACGGACGACGGACAAAATGTGATCAGAAAAGCTCACTTGAGCCTTCAGCTCAGGTGAGCTAAAAAATATACATTCTTAATTCTTTTAGAGATATTCAAAGAATTCCTCTTAATTCAAAAATATTATAAATATTTCGATTTATATTCATTTGTTGATTTTATAAATAAATGATTTACTGGCCAAGGTATTTTTTAGTGAAAAAGAGCTAGGTTCACTTTATGCATAAAATGGCCCTATCCTTATATCAATTAATCGACTATCAACCTCTATCCCATTTCATACATCAAAATAGAGTAGAGACTTAGTGCTTTCATTTCCTATCACAAAATTTCTTTTTGAGAATCCAGGTATTGGAAAACAAGCTTTGGGAAAATGCAATGTTCTTGAATTTTGCAGAAAACATGCGTATTTGACTACCTTCAGCAAAGAATTAAAATATAGCACAGCCCACGATCCAAAAATTAAAACATGTTTTGTGATCTTCAGAAACAGATCTTTTATTATGTAATTGCATATTTTGGATCAGAGGTTGTGCTCTATATATAATATTGAAAAAATACCTCAACTTTTGGCCATTTTTAAGGGAATTTACAGGATATGGGAAAAATGACGCATTTTATGACGTCATAATGCATTGACTAGAGAGAAAATTACGTCATGTTCAATAGATACACGGTCACCAAGTGTCCAAGTTATAAATACTGCATTTTCAACTAAAACTGAGTCGTTTCGATTTTTCAGAAGTTCTCAGGGCCAAAAAAAGCCCTAAGTGGCTCTTGCTCTTTCCCAAAATGTGCTCTTTACCTGAGTTTGACATGCCCTCTTGAGAAATCTAAGCCGATGACCCATTTACTTTTTGGCATAATTTGCTAGTAAATTGTCTTGTTTACATTGTCCTTTAATATGAATAAAAATTTTATTGCAGAATTTTTTGAATGATCAATCTTATACCCTACACTGGCGATTTTCCATTACTTCTTATAGCAATTATCGATTTCCATCGCTAACTTTTGGAACGCTCCCCATTAAAAATTTACGTCAATGACCATATGTTTTTTTTTTTATTGATTTTAACTCAACATAAGTCACTTTACCTCATTTTAAAATTTGAATTAAAAAAAATTATTGCAGAAATGATTAGGTCCGTCGTCGTTAAGTGAAACTTTGACCTTCTGTTATGCCCCTCCTAACCCCTAGGGTTCATAATTTGAACAAACTTGATTCTACCAAAACCAAAAGTTGCTTCTGTATAAATATGACCAATGGTGGCTAAGTTGTTCTTGAGAAGAAGATCTGCAGAGCAGAGCGGCACTTAAGGACTACTTTATCCGGCGCCTGTCTGTCTGTCTAGCTGTCTGTCTGTCACAGCCTATTTCTCGAGAATTGTAAGAGGAATGGATTTGATATTTTGCACATATATTGCTTGTCACTATGACTTTTGTAAATAACCATAGTTACGGATCTCGTGACCCTTGACCTTTGACCTACTTTACAAAATAATTCATATTGCGGGTATACAGCACATTTTTACATTTAAGAATTAAAGCCTTTGTTATATAGCATGAGCATTGTTTGTCATAAGACATCATGAAAAATACCAGCATTACAATCTACTTGACCTTGACCTTTGAACTACTTTGCAAAACAAACCCTTGGCAGTTTAAGGGGAGACAGGACACATGTCACATAACTCAATTGACTACGTCATAGTCACCGTTAATGTTGGTGTTAAACGTTATTATAATCACCTGTATTTATATAATTTTTGTTCAACTTATTGAGCTTAAACATTTTATGTAAAATCTTTAAGAATTTTAAACGATGATGTAAATATTCAAAAATGGTGAAATCGATTGATCCATCCCTCCCCTTCTTTACGCTGCAGTCTAACATGTCCTTGACGTCATATATATAATTGCGATGACAAGATCGGGTCTGACGGACGGACGGATCGTGAATGATGCAGGATAACCTCTGAAGTCGAGAAATGTTTCTCGATTTTCTCGACCTCGGAGGTTATCCTGCATCATTCATAAAAATATTCTATACTGAAACGCAAAAGAAACGCAACATCATATTTTAGGGGAAAATATTACATATAAGATATAATTTTGTATCTAAAAAGTAAGGACATCTTCAACTTTGTAAATATCGGTAATTTAACTGTTAAATGATTTTCATACCATTACCAGAAGTAAAGTTTGAGTCCGCTTAACAGAAATCAAAAATTGCATGTTTAACAAAACATTTGGCAATAATATCGGGTGTTAAGGATTTGTATCTGTTTATTATAAGTAATGCAGCAATGCTCCGAAAAATAAATTCCCCTTTCTTTTCCGTAAGCGATGCCAAGGCTTCCTGAAAATGACTTAAGTACGCATTTCCATTGTTCTAGCTGGAAATTCTCAAAATAAAGGTGATTGAGAGTTGCAGATGCAAATATGACCCACATCGCGCCTCAACAGGCTCTTACATATCATTAGCATGAATGACAGTCCTTGGACGGGAATTCCAAGGGTTACCACACCGCGCTTGACTAGAGAAAATTCGACTTCATCATCTGAAAAACGAGCATTCAAACATAGCAAAGAATATTTCTTTCGCTCAGATCTCGAGATTGATGAACCTATTGTATCTTAGAAATCAAGCTGCAACTGTTGTGCATGCTGTAATTGAATGGCCGGGGTGGGGTGGGGGTGTTTTAACAGTCATGTGCTACTTTCCAAAATTTAATGATAATCATTTCACATTTTTATCAAATCTCTGATGTTTTTAAATCGAGTTTTACCATAGTGTATTCATTTTTGAATATCATTAGATAAAAAATTCAAGTATTTGTATATTACTGCTTGTTGCGTTTCTTTTGCGTTTCAGTATACTAACAGCTCTTAAATACGGCTGATCGCTTCCTCTGTAAAGAAACGAATTTGGTCACCATGTCTCGATTAAGCTGTTCCATTTAACACCAGAGGGTCAATTTGTTTGTTTACTTGTGTATCGATCGCAATAGAATGCCTACGATTTGAACTTTCGTTGGGTTAAAAATATCCCTTAATTATTTATAAATTTGTTTGCAACATATAGTTATAAATTTTTATGAATGTAAAATAATAAAATAAGTTGTCTATTTTGTTGCTTTATTTCTAGTAAATTTACGGATTGTAAATGTTTTGGGGAGGTCCGTGGAACAGGACCATGTAGCTATAAAAAACGACATTTGTCAGTTGTTTCGGCAATACACAGTACTTAGACAGCGGAAGACGAAACATCGATATGATCTCAATAAGTATCAGATTCTACAGTGAAATATCTTATTCTTTTCAACTGTACAGGTTTGATGTGTGTTTCTGATCTGATGATTGTTAAATGACGTTCGTGATTTATTGAAGAACAATGTCCGCGGTATATCTTTGATATTGGGCAATAACTGTAGTAGAATTAAAAATACATGTAGATGTCAATTTAGAAAGAGCTGTCAATAAGAAAATTTAAGGAATGATACGAACTTGGGTTTCTCTACACAGGCATATGTGAGAAGTTAAAGTTTATATTCTTATTAACGTTAACAGATTAAAAACATTTTAAAATCAACCATTGAAAATAAAACTACCACAAAAGTGCTGCATTTCAAAAACTGAATCTTTGCTGTTTAAGAAACACAACGCGCAAGTAGAAGAGAAAAAGAGACGTGACAACAAATTGAAAATGCTTTTGCCTCCTAAATGCACATGCATCTTTCTGGACCTGTTATAGAAAGGATTAACTTTTTAAATACTTATTATGAAGACATTTTAAGAATTTGGTGCAAGACATACATACATTTATAAATAGGTATAAAATAAATGTAAAAAAAAAATAAGATCTGCAAAATTCATACCTCCATATGTCCATCCAGAAAAAACGCTTCCATCTTGATCACACACTTCCTTATCCACCTTCTGGTCAAGACGTTTAGAAGCGTCCACCACCACAACATAGAAAGCTCTCCTGGTCAGGTAAATCTGGTGGCAGGCGTAGTACGCACACTGTCCTCCAAAGTCAAAGAATGTCAGAGTCTTTGATTCAACATTTGTTGCATTTACTTCTTTATTTCTGTGATCCATATATCTTGTTTTCACTGTAAACATATTCAGGCATTCAGTAAATTGTTGTCAAGTATTATCTGTTATTTCAATCATTGTTATCTTACTTAATGAACTGCATTAAAATTACTTGCAATATCATTAGTTGGGAATCAGTCAGCATTGTTCGAAAATACACCACAACTAGAATTAGAAATAAATCACCAGCAGTACCAACATTTAAACCAAAAATCCATTCCAAGCTTTATGTATTTTGTTCATAAAAACTAAAAGTATAGATGAATCGGATTTTTAATTACTGTGAGTGCCGAAAATCAAAATCAATATTATCTCTACTACCTTTAATATTACCAGCATCAGCAGAATTTTTGGTTACCTTGATTTTAATAAATAAGTATCCGACAAAGTAATCATTTTAGTCAGCCAGCTAACTAAACTAGAGATACTAAGAGCACTGAGCTAACAAAATGATACCCCCGGCTCCCATATGTATATAATGGCAAAGTCCATGTTTTGCTATGGGAGACCCGAAATATGTGTCCGATCGAAAGTAAAATAGGAGATGCACAATGACACTTTGTAACAAAGATTCTTTGAAAGTATAATTTTATTTTATTAAGTGGTATAGGAGGAGTTGTGGATAAGAGATGGGTATCCCTCAATATTAAAGAAAGAACGTCAGTGTCTTTGTTTTGCTGTGGGAAACTCTAAATATGTGTCCGATCAAAAAATGAAATATATTTAAGTGGTGCACAATGACAATATGTACTAAAGATTCTGTGAAATTAAAACATTTTTGTGGCGTCATTCTTTTGTTTCTATCTCATATTTCAAAGAATGTACTAGCTATAGTCAAATATTATTTTCAGGAGTACATCATATCTATTTCTGTGTGAAACAAAGGATGACGTCACTTAGCTTTTACACAACGAATGAATAAGGCAACAAATAGACGAAAAATATGCATTTTATCAACATCAACATTAGAAATTACTTAAATATTTTACTCATATATAAAGCGATTATACTAATCAATTTAAGTGACTTCACGAAATTGTTAATAGTCGTTTACAATGCGTTTCAAAATTGTTTTTAATTGATCCAAGAGCGATTTTCATTGAATTTTCACAGTACAATTAAAAATTTTATAGAGGACCCCCTCCTTTTTTTTTTTTTTTTTTTTTTTTTTTTTTTTACCAATTTCTGGAAATCAATATTTTTAGAAGTGAAAATTAACTTTTCCTTTTCAACATTAACATTACAGTTGTTTTCCTCTTGGCATAATCTTAAAATTGAAAAAAAAGACTGTTTACCACAACGACCGATCAATGAGTGTCTTCAATTTTTAAGCCCCCGTAATCGAAGATTCGGGGGCATATAGTATTTGCTCTGTCGGTCCGTCTGTCTGTCTATTCATCCGCATAAACTTTAAAACCTTGTACATGGCTTTTGAATGGTTGGAGCTATGGCTCTCATATTTCACACGGGTATTCCTTGCGACAAAAATTTTCTTTTAGTACCAAAATATTTTATCTCTTGACCATAAAGTTTGACCCACTTTTGCAAAATTTTACCAAACTTTTACCTTGGCCATGACTTCTGAACGGGTAGTGCTAAGGCATTCTGAATCTTGACCTTTGATTTTGACTTGCATTTGAAAAACTTTTACCTTAGCCATGATCTGCCATGCGGGGGCATCAGTGTTTCCCAAACACATCTTATTTAAAAATATTTCCTGTCAATATTTCCTGTCGGATCTCACTTTTTTCAATTTCTTCCCCTCATGTTTACATTTAAATGGGAAGAAAGAAAAGGGTCATATTATTTCATATTTGCCAAAGATCTAGAGCAGATTACATTTAAATTACTAACATTCTACCTTTTAATGATTTTGTTTTATCATCTACATCAAATATTTCCTCATGCACCTCCAATCCTTCAGTAGATTTTACTTCCTCAATCTTTCTTTCACTATAACCGAGAAGACGGTTAAGTAGCGTGGTCTTTCCTGCCCCGGCACATCCTACAATCATTCCCCGGGCGTGATGTTCAGTCTTTGTTCCTCTCTTAGCGTTTTCGACATACCGCTCTCTGGCCTCCTGGTCCCATACAAGTATTTCTTCTGGGACTACCACTGAAAATAACTATCAATGATTACATTTTTTCAGGATCACGTATTTCGATAGATTTGATAATTCAAGCTATTCAAAATCATTCTTTTTATCAAAACGGTCAGTACTGCATCCATTTTTAAACTATCTTATTTGAACAACGAAAAAAAAAAGATTCTTTTGGCTATGTTATTATTCATTATCGTGTCATTATCTTTACCTTTAACTCGTTTGACCTTTCTTTTTGTGTTCTGTTCAATTGTTGTTTTTAATAGTGCAACCTTGTTCGAAATATTTTTTCTGTAGTATTCAACGGGTACTAATGAGTTTAAAAGAGTGTTTTCCAAGTAGCACAGATTTAAATATATCATACAATGAACCTGGTTGTAATAAGGGGCCATAAGGGGACAAAATGTTAAATGTTTGACACTTCATACCTCCAAAAAGGTAAATATTTTGATAAGCAATATTGAACAAAAGATGTTTTGAATAATATTTTAAACAATAAACAACTTGCACAACGGCCCCATTAAGGACTTGAAGGGCTGGTCCCTAATTTTTTCTATTCTATATAGTTTGAAAACGAAAAGAAATTTCTGAATAAATCTTCAAATTCACAGGAGTTTTCTTTTGACATGAAGAAAAAGGGGCTGACCCCTCAAATTAGGGGCTCAGAAGGGCCAACAGACTTCATAAATAACTTTTTAACATTAATATTTTGTATTGAAATAAAGCAAAAATGTTTTTCTTAACAATCTGAAATAATATATTCTAAAATTCTGACAAATATTAGGTAATTAGGGGTTATAGGGGGACAGAATGCTAAATCTTTGACACTCTATATCTCGAAGAGGGGAAATATTGTGATAAGCAATATTGAACAAAAGATGGTCAGAATAATATTTTAAACAAAATACAACCATTCAATTTTCGGAAAAGGGCCCCATTAAAGACTTGAAGGGCTGGTTCCTAAATATTTCTATTCTGCATATCTCCAAAAGGAAGAAAAGCTTCTGAACTAGATAATTGTTGAACAAAAAGACTTCAATTTGTTATAAAGATAAAGGGGCTGACCAGTCAAATTAGGGACTCAGAGGGGCCAAATTCCTTCATCTTTAAGTCTTGAACGATCTATATTTTGTAATGCATTTCTGGAGCAAAAAAGAAAAATGTTCATATTAACGATTTGCAACTATAAAGAATAGAATTTTGATGATATACTATGTACTAGTAATAAAGGGCCAAAAGGAGCAAGAATGCTAAATCTTTGACGCTTTATAACCCAAAAATGGGAAGTATTCTGATAAGGAATTCAATATTAAACAGAAGATGTTAAGATTTATGTTCTTAACAATATGCAGACTTTCAATTGTGCAAAACAGACCCATTAAGGACTTGAAGGGCTGGTCCTTAAATATTTCTATTCTGTATAGCTCGAAAAGGAAAAAAAAAACCCTCTGAATAATGGTTGATCATGAACAAAAAGTCTTCAAAGGCACAATATCTTTCATTTAACATTAGGAAAAAGGGACTGACCCCTAAAAATCAGAGGGTCGGGGGGGGGGGGGTTCGGGGGCAAAATGCTTTCATCTATACCTTTTTAATGATCAATTTTTATTCAAATTACTGTAGTACAAATGCTTAAGGTTACCAAAAGCACCAATACATTGTAAATTTTAAAATCATTTATTGCGTAAATGTGGGCCATAAGGTGCCAGAATGCTAAATCTTTAAAGTTTGATATCTCGAAAAGTTGAAACATTTTGATGAACAATTTTGAACAAAAGTTGTCCAAAATAGTTTTTTTTAACCAACAGAGTGATGTCTAAATGTCATTATCTTTTAATGAATATCTTAGTCAAAATCACATCTCATCTTATCGAGAAATCGGACGGAAGACCTACTCGTTGTTCGCAACAAGATTTCATCTAGTTTCACATTATTTTCCAAATGAGTATAATGTGTAAAGAACAATCCTATTAAAAGGTTTCTGTGAAGATCTAACCTCTGTAACCAGTGAAACTTTCTTCTTTTTTTTGCCACGCATGGAAAACGAATTTAAGGAAACCTTGCCCATTATTAAAGCTAGACTATTATTAACACCAGATATATATACCAAATAAAATTTACTAGCTTTGGATTCATTTCGCCATCGTTGTTGCATGTTAGGTGATTTGTCAAGCGCATTGTTTTTTATCATAACGATATAATTCAAAATAAATACATCTAAACTTAAATCGATGAGATATGAAACTTCTTTGCATGTGTAAATATGCTTAAAGTCCACTTTGCTATAATTTGACCAAACAGAATATGTCACACTTTCTGAATTCGATGAAACGTGAATATTTTTGTTGATTTGCGCAACAACAACGAACGAGTAAACATTTGGGAAGTGTATCTCCGAATTAAATTCTCAAGCATATAAAGAAAAACGTATTTTTTATGCACCATGAAACTGATAAAGTTTTGCATTTCAGTGTCAATTCATCAAAAAGAATGCCCCTTACTTCTTAAAACCTGTTATGAAACTTTACATGAAGCTCTCACTGTACAGTTAACAAAGAAGTACAGTGCGTCATGTGTACGCAAATATTTACATTAACAGAGGCCTCAACTGTGATCGTCCGAAGCCGATCACAAATGTGCCGAATCCAGTTTCTGTGGGAAGGAGCCCTAACAAAAATTTACTATAGTTAACTATAATAAATACTTTGATACTTTGATTTACTATGAAACTTTACACTAGAACATTTTTTTGAGATTTCGAAACTTTAAATCTTATAAATTCTATACCAATGCTGTAAAATTTGCCATTGGATCTAAGAATTTGAATATAAAAATAATATTTCCATTTAATATCAAACATTTGCAAGTATATATTGAGAAAAAATAAAATATAACAATCTGAAATCCATAGTAACAAGATGTGTTTGTGAAACACTATGCTCACAATGGTAACACAATTCTGGAGTGGGACGTGGACTACAGTGCAATAGTTATGGCCAATGTTAAAGTTTTTCAGATGTAGGACAAAGGTCACAGTTGAGGTCACATGATCAAAAATTTCTGTACCAATGGAAAGGTCTTGTCATAATGAACACTCATGTCAGATATTAAAGATTTACCCTTGACAGCGCAATAGTTATGGGCTAGGTTAAAGTTGCAACAGACAGACAGACAAACAGACAAACAAACAAACAGAATGAACATACTAGACAAAGAGCTGTCATACACATTTGGAGAAATGAAAAAAAAAAAAAAAGAAACTAAAGAAATACTTACAACGTTTACTGATACTGCCATGAATTCCCCTGTCAGACATGGTACAGTGTGTGATGATGTCCAGCTGTAGTCTGTCTATGAAGAGGTCGTACATCTTCTCTGGTCTGCGCAGTACATACAGACATCTCTCTCCATCACTCCTCTTATAATTCCAGGACCTGCAGTATTCTGATATCACGTCACGTGACGCCGTGGTCAGGAAAAACTCCAGATCACTATCCTCCACCAAACACTCCGTAACAAAGGCGTACATGACGTCATGTCGGATATCGTCTGATTTTAGGGTTATCACACCATTATGTGTTTCTGTGATTCCAGCAGGAAGATCTACCCAGCCTTCATGAGTGATATCAGTGAAATATCTGTCTCTGATTTTGTCCCTTATGATTCTCTGTGATTGTTCATTGAGATTTAACTGATATTTCTCATTTAACAGTAAGGAGTACAGTAAACACCTTACATCCGGCGGATATGTATGGTATGTACCTGATAGAAAAAAAATTAAAAATAAATTAAAAAAAACGAAAGTTAACAACATTAGATTTATATATTTATCATATGTTTATTTACGAATTTAACCAAAAGTTTGTTTGTTTGTTTGTTTGTTTTTTTTAATACAATAAGTGCTCAACAGACTGGAACTTAATGATGCAAAAATGCCATTGGTTACGAATTGTTTTCGGATTATTACACTTCTACTAAAATTAGTACAAAAAATGCTACAGATGCAAATGACACAACGAAATGTTTCTTTCGCTATCAACGCACCATGCATCATCTGTAGAAGTCATCGGCATGATTTAAGGAGGCCGAGTCTAACTCGAGTGCGCATGACTTTGCGCAGTTTATTAATTTCGTAAGTATGGCATTACACATTTCCTAGTTTTTGTGACTTTAATACAAAATTAACAGTATTTATAACGTCTATGGGTCTGAAAATGTGTTTTCAAGACAATGAGTAGGAATAAACGCTGAAATGGCTATAACGACATCACAGTTATCCGGGTTTGTAAGCAATGCATGACGCTGAAGCATGACTCGCTTGAGTATTCAAGACGTATATGCACATTTTACTTAAAACTGTTGACAGAACATTAAAAGAAACATATCAGCAATCTAAATATTGTTTTTTTAAATCAAAATAATTCATCTGCGCCGATATATACACATGTGTATCGCAATATGGCATATTTAGAAGGTATTTGGCATTGAAAAAAAAAAAACTTAAGTTTGTAATAATTCCTAGACCAACCTAGACGGTCAACTTTTTTGAAATTTCACAATTTGGTGACTTTTACCAATAACTTTCATGAAAAAGAAATCCCTAGAGCAGAAATACAAAAAATATGGGGAAAATGTGATAATTTTGACGCTTTTCCATCAAATTCCCATAGGGTCCAATAGTAAAATTTTACAACTTTTGAGATGGCCCCCTAAGAAATCGGGATGGTAAACATTCGATTTTTTTTATCTTAAAACAATTAATATAATAATAAAAATTCATACAAGAAAATTTATCAAAATATCTAGGATAGAAATAATTAGACTCGGCCTCGTTAAGGAATCATGATCAGCACGTGGATAGTTGCTGCCAATTTAATGCTTAGTATGATTATATATATTACGGTTAATTTTTTAAAAATCTTTTTTAGAATTTGATATAAATATTTTCAAACTGTCTGCTATTTATAGGACGTGTGTATGTTTATGGAGTGCTGACTTAATTTAAACGAGGTTGTTTAAATCCTTTAACACCAACTTTTTAGTGAGTAGCATGCCTCGCTTTAAAAATTGACTGCACTCAGAGCAAGCTCTTGAGTAGCGAATAATTTGTGAGACATAAACATGATAAGCAGGTGACAGTGGAATATTACTACATAAGGAAAGTTGACGATGGAAAAGCTGAAGTCATCTCGTTTCTCATACAATATAGTTTGCCCTTATCGTTTATAATCAGTAAACCACCCAAATATAAATCTGTGGTCTCCTTTATTTCAAGTTCACTAGAATATATCGAGTCGACATATGAATGAAAATAACTACATGTATTGTTAACTGTAAAAAAAATCGTCGAAATATCTGAATGTTCAATTGAAGGCCACAGAGTGTGTTTTCCTCTACTCATGTAGAAATTTTTTCATTGGAATATAAAAACAGGTCAGCTAATAAAGGATCACAATTAGTTCCCTTTGAGATTCCAACAGTTTGTTTGAAACTAGTATCTACACTTGTTGTGAATGCTTCGTGATTATTATGAATAATCATGGCTTTGTTATTCTTGAGGGTTTAAAAGATTCTCTTTCTATAATTTCGTATGTAAAACTTTGATTACTTAATGTGGCCCTATCCTATCCATGGGGGTTCATGTTTAAAACATACTTGAATTTACACTACCTCTGGATGCTTACAGAGTAATAAGACTATAATCATTTCTTTGATGCTTTCGTGAAGAAGTTTTTCAAAGATTTTTTCCTACGTAAGTTTGATCTCCCGTTAAGTCCATATTATATCTCGGCGTTTATTTAAAGAATCTTGATTCTACACTACCTAAGAATATTCCAAATTAGTAAGACTAATCACGGCTTTGCTGTTCTTGATGAGAAAATTTCAGTGATATTCGCCCATATATATTAATGTTATACTTTGACTTTCTCATTTGGCTCCACCCTTTTCCCCGGGATCATGATTTGAACATACTTGAATCTACACAATCTGATGTTGATTGCATTTTAATATGTATAATTATGGTTTCTCTGTTCCTCTGATTTTTAAAGATAAAGTTTTCCTATAATTTCCCATGTAAATATTTGATTGCCTTTGTCGTACCCTCGGGGGTCATGATTTTAACAAACTTGAATATACACTACGCGATGAAGCTTTCACATAAATTTCATCTTTTACAGCCTAGTGGTTCTTGAGAAGTTTTTTAACGCCATTTCATTTTCCTCATTTTTATAGAGGACGTGGCCCTTCATTTGAAGAATTTAAGTTTCCTTTACACAATGATGCTGTTGACGAAGGTTGGCTATAATTGGTCTGTTGGTAGAAGGTAAAGACGACAACGACAGATAACAGATACATTTTGATCGGATTTTGTTTGTTTGTTGTTTAATGTCCCTCTCGAGAATTTTTCACTCATATAGAGACGCCACCACTTGCCGATGGAGAGCTGCAAATTTAGACCTATACTCTGCACTCAGGGCCATTGAGCAATAAGGGATCTTTTTCGTGCCAGCACCTACTGCGACACGGCACCTCGATCAGTTTATTCGGTCTCATCCGAAGGACCGGTCTCCACGTCTTACAGTGGGATTCGAACCCATATTTTGATCGGAAAATAGTTTTAGCTCAAGCGAACTAACTAGAGGCACATGACCCATAATGCTTACCTAGGCCTTAGTCATTTTGGCCTTGCTATTTCTGATTAACAGATTTTTTTGTGTAAAATAAATATTTCTTTGTTAAACTTCATGGCTATGATTTGAATAAACTCACTAGTAAATCGAAATTAACTGAGGGTGCTTCCATATTGATCGTTTAAATATTCCTATGCTGTGATTGAAGTTTCTTAAGCTAGAGTTTTTTTCCTATATACTCCTATTTAAAATTTTAATTGCCCTGTGTGGCCCTTCATTCATGTCCAGTTCAATTTGTCAATTCATTAGTGTCGACATCGCTATGTAGACAGTGTGAACAAAATATGGTGTTTAGACCGACTGCATTGTTAGTCTTTCTAAATTGACATTGCCAACATCGCAATGTCGACAATGTTGACACGATATCGTGATTACATCGTCTACATTGTTTTCATTCACTATGATGACATCGTCGAAATCACAATGTTAACAATAACATAAATATCGAGTTTGCATCGTCTACATTGTAATTATTTCTACATTGTATGTCAACTTCGTCGACGTCGACAGCACAATATAGACAATGCTGATTTGATATCGAGTGTACATCATCTACAATGTTATAATTTCTATGTCTACATCGTTGGCATCGCAATGTAACAATGTTGATTTGAGTTTACATCGTCCAACATTACAATTAAGACGATGTGAAAATGAGTTCAATGTTGAATCGACGTCGACTCGATATCGACCGACATTGCAATGTCGACAATGTAAACAAGAAAACAAGGTGCAACGTTGAAACGATTTCGACTCGATATCGTCCTACATTGCAAAGTCGATGTAAGCAAGAAAACAGAAGGCAATGTTGACACGATGTCGACTCGATATCGTCCAACACTGCAATGTCGATGATGTGAAAGATGTAAACATGAAACTGAATGCAACGTTGACGCAATCTCGACTCGATATCGTCCAACATACATTGTCGACGATGTGAACGATGTAAACAAGAAAAAGAAGGCAATGATGACAAGATGTCCACTCGACATCATTTAACACTGCATTGAAGGTTAACAAAGATATTGTCCAACATTGCTTTATCGACAATGTAATCAGAAAAAGAGAGTGCAATGTTGACACGATTTTGACTTGATGTCATCCAACATTGGGATGTTTAAAAAGTGACAGTAACATTCATAGTTGAATGAGGAGTAATGTGTAAATGTGTATTATGAATTAAGAGGTATATATACAGCAATGCCGACAATATCGATAAAACATCCTACACTGGACATACATCTGGCCCTTGGGAGGTGGGGTATAAGTATAGGTTTGAGTCTACACTATGTTATGAAATTTTCACTGAAGTATTAGATTTTCAGTTTGCAGTGGTATTTGAGAATATGATTTTGAATGAAACCATTAATCTTCACTTATTATGAAATATCTCCCTTTAAAAAGGGCACGGCCCTTTTTTGGTACAAACTCGAATCACTTTGACCAAGGATGCTTTCTGGAAGGTTTGGCTAAAATTGGCTTAGGGTTCTGGAGAAGATGAAAATGTGAAAAGTTAACAGACCGACAAAAAGACTGACGGACAACGAACACACTTTGATCAGAATAGCTTACTTGAGCCTTAGACTCAGGTGAGTTAAGGGATACAAAGTTTGATGATTCTAATTTTAAAGACCTCTTTCAAACCTCCCAAAAATTATATAATCACAAACCAGTATTAAAGTATTCAAAAATACTTTGTAGATATAATTGGATCTGTTCAGGACATTTTTGGAAATCTTTGGTTTATTTGAATGAATTGTGTTTTCATTATTGAAAATACAGCAATCTTAGTAGGTTTAAATTTGGATGAGAACTGATATCAATATAAAAGTAAGCTAACTGACTCCAAAGATCTACATGTAATAAAATAAATCTTCCACGAAATCGTTAATTTCAAACATAAAGCATCCATTTTATGTTAGAACCAAGTACGTTATCGGCTATATTCGGCCGAGAAATTTTACGATTTTCCAACTACGGTTTTTTGTGCAAGTCCTTTATGTTTTGTTTAAATTGAGATCACAGCTAATGTCAACTTGTATAAAAATGACGCAATATGTAAAAGTGAGG